AGATATATTAAGATCTTCGATGTTTAAGTTCATTTCGTAATGTTGTCACTCCAATATCATATCCAAGTCTTCTCGACACTTTGAAGTGGTCCATCTATTACTGAATTGACAAAAAGTAACCAAAGATTGAGATATCACGAAATGCTGACCCGCTGCACTTCGCGGATTGATTAATAGTTTACGTGCTTACTCCATATAGGACCTAACTTGTTTTGTATCACAAATAATAAAATATTTTTGTGAAAAATTAGTATAAATTGAAGATTTGGATTCTGTAAATGTGAAGAACAGAATCTGAAACGGCCTTCATGCGCATTTGTTTTAAACGTTTATTTAAGCTGCAGTAATACCAGCAACAAATTTGCTGCAACTTAATTGCTTGCAACAAAATCTGATTTCTACGGTTAATTGAAAATGTTTATACACATAAACTACAAGTCACGAGGCAACATGTGTTGACATTTCCACTTAACATGCGTTAAAATCAGATTGTGTTGCAAGTTTCAGCAATTTTGTTGGCTGTATTACTTCACCTTTGAATGTTTGTTCAATTGTTTCGTAGGTCTACGGAGGATGCATCCATGTTCGCTGATGCAGAGGAGGTAATGTTTAAATGCATTTATTATTACCAGCGGACTTGGCAGTTTCACTGGAAGAGCGGCCTGGCTGAACGAAAATGATCAACGTTGAAGACAGAACCTGACATTCAATATCCACTTTTTTGCTTCATTTTTAAGTACCTTAGATTAGATGTCGCAGAAATATATTGAGTTCACTGCATAGTCCTTCATGTTGAACTCCCTCTCAATTTGAGGTTTGAATATAGCCCGGGCCACCTAAATTCTCTTGCGACGATTTAAAATTTGGCGTTAGTTCTCGTATAAATATCGGAAAAAAAGAGTGGGTCAAAGATGGTAAATAAAAAACAAAATTGGAGGCTTCATTTTGAAAACTGGCGCTATTTTTAAAACAAATATGAAATTTTGTTAGAAAACATATGGGGGTTACCCTGGTGGCCAGAGGTTCTCATATCTTCCGCCCCATTACGGCGGCACAAGAACCTCTGGAACCAGGGTATATGGGGGTTTGCATGGGATCAAATGTTCTGCTTTTAAAAACGTTAGAAACGACGCTAGTAGTACCACAGTTTTAAAAATATATAGCAACCAATATCATATATTCCAATTGACGTCACAAGTGTAGTTTGTCCGAATATTCCCACAATTCGTGCGGGCTTAACAATAGAATATAGTTCATTTGCATTCATTTGAAAGTCCATTTCAGTTCGTTTTTCTGAAGTTTGTGAAAAAATAGGGGTAAAACATTTTTCCCGGACATGAAAAAAATGGTTGAAAAATTAAGGTTTTCAAAAATATTTTTCCGGACAAATACCTGTAAAATCCCGGGTAAAACGCATTTTTTCGTGCCAATACTAGTAAAAGTAAGGTCCAAAAAATTTTTCTCTTACCATTACTTATATAATAAAAGTTCCAGATATTTTTAATTACACCTTTTGTGCCCCCCCCCTTTTGCAAATTGCCCCATTTACCCCCGCTCTGGGCGGCCCTGGAGTTCAGCGAAATAACTTCTTCTCTGAAACTAGGGTATTATTTTTTTCTTCTTTAGTTTGCTCATTTACTGGAAGACTCTGGTGGTGTTGCTCAAGGAGGCAGCGAAGATGTGGACATGCGAGGAGTAAGCTGGAAACAACAGCAATGGGAAATGAATAGAATGCGTAACCCTTCTCAGAAAAATAATTTTCGAGGTGGTAAGAATCGCGGGAGGGGTTCGCGGAACTTCGGACAGGGTTCGGCAGGGGCCGGAAAATCTTCGCGAAATTTCGGACGTGGTTCGGCCGGGGCCGGAAAAACTTCGAAGAACTTCGGCGAAGGTCGGAAAAAAATCGGCAAGGGGAGAGGTAAACCAAAGAATATGGGTAATAAACGAAGAAAAGGAAAATAGAAAAAGTGAAAGTAGTGCCGGGTATTATTTAGTGAATATTGGATAATTATTGTGAATAATATTTTAAAAAAAAATTGATTTCAGTCTGTTTACCCTCACCGAACATGAGAATGATCGATGGGCATTTTTCCGTCGACAAGTTTTATTTGTTATGAGCTCTTTGTAACAACAATGTCAACAAGAATAACAAAAACGTACAACATTTTATTTACTTTTGCATAAAAGTTATAAAATTGTAATCAGATGTATTTAATGACACAGGCAATGAGAATGGCTACGCGAAATAACTTTTGAGCCGTGCACTTACACTTGCAAGCCTGTGGCTGTCTTTGGGGTATGGTATGGAAATCGATTTTAACAGATCCGTCTTTTCTGCAATGCCTGCATGGG